GACCCTTTTCTTCTTTCTGTTTTCCTATTCTCACCAGCACTGACCTGACTGAGGTCTGAGGTGTAAACTCCCTGTTTACCTCCCTATCCCACAACATGGTATTTTCTTGCTTCCCTTTCCACTTCCCTCCCCCAATTCCAGCCAGGTAGAGTCTTTTTTTTTCTCTTTTTTTGAGAAGGAGTCTCGCTCTGTTGCCCAGGCTGGAGTGCAGTGGAATGATCCTGGCTCACTGCAACCTCCACCTCCTGGGTTCAAGTGATTCTCCTGCCTCAGCCTCCTGAGTAGTTGGGACTACAGGCACAGCTAATATTTTTGTATGTTTAGTAGAGACGGGGTTTGGCCAAGATGGCCAGGATGGTCTCGATCTCTTGACCTTGTGATCCGCCTGCCTCAGCCTTCCAAAGTGCTGGGATTACAGGCATGAGCTACTGCGCCCGGCCCAGGTAGTCTCTGATCAGGTGGTTTGTTTCTTGCACCTAGATTGCCCTTGTCACACCCCTTCTGGTTGAAACTCTTGACCTTCCTCAAGGCTCAGTCAAAGGCTCCTTCCTTCATGAAGCCTTTCATGAGCCCTTGCTAAAATTAACTGCTCCTCTGTGCTTCCACCACGCAGCATCTCCCAAACTTCATGCCCATGCAGAACTTCAGAACGTCACCATATTTGGAAAGAGAGTTTTTGGAGCTGTAACTAGTTAAGGATCTTGAGATGCAGTCACACTGGATTTAGTATGTGTCCTGAATCCAATAACTAGTGTCCTTATAAGATGATGACAGGGGCCTGGCTCAGTGGCTCATGCCTGTAATCCCAGCACTTGGAAGACTATGGCAGGCGAATTGCCCGAGGTCAGGAGTTCAAGACCAGCCTGACTAACATGGTGAAACCCTCGTCTCTACTAAAAATACAAAAATTAGCTGGGCATAGTGGGGGCGCCTGTAGTCCCAGCTACTTGGGAGGCTGAGGCAGGAGAATCGCTTGAATCTGGGAGGCGGAGGTTGCACTGAGCTGACATCACATTTCTGCCTGCCAGCCTGGACGACAGAGCGAGACTCTGTCTCAAAAAAAAAAAGATGATGGGACCCAGACACACACACAGCGAGGAAGGGCATGTGATAATGAAAGGAGAGATCAGAGCCATGCTGCCATCAGCCAAGGAGCACCGGGAGCCACAAGGAGCTGCAAGAGATGATGAAGATCCTCCCCTCGAGTCTTTGAGTGGAGAGGAACCTGCTGATGGCCTCTAGAACCACCAGAGAATACATTTTATTGTGGTAAGCCATCAAGTTTGTGCTAATTTGTCATGATAACCATAGGAAGCACATACACATGGTCATCTGTGCCTTCACTGTAAGTACCTGGCCAGGCTCTAGGCTTTCTTCATCTTCGCTACATTTCCCCACAGGCCCGCAGCTGTACCAAACACCGAACAGACACTCCAGGCAAGCTTGCTGAGCTAGGTCTCTCAGAGACTGTGTCAAGGGACTTAGGAGCTTGGGCTGGCCCCAGGGTTAGGGATGGGAAGGACACAGGACTTGCTGAATGGAAGTGCTGGAGAACAGGATTCATAAATCGACTCACAGGGCTAGCCTGGCTGGGTGTGTACCCACATGCTGTGAATTTACTGATAGCAAGACAGAACTCTAAGCCAGTCCCCATACTACTTCTGTGAAATACCTCCTCTCAGACAACCTCTCTGAAATGGGTCCTTGAGTTCTTTTTCTTTTCTTTTCTTTTTTGAGATGGAGTTTCGCTCTGTTACCAGGAGGAGTGCACTGGCGTGATCTCGGCTCACTGTAATCTCCACCTCCCGGATTCAAGCAATTCTCCTGCCTCAGCCTCCCAAGTAGCTGGGATGACAGGCGCTCACCACCATGCCTGGATCATTTTTTTTTTGTATTTTTAGTAGAAACAGTGTTTCACCATATTGGCCAGGCTGGTCTCAAACTCCTGACCTCAGGTGATCCACCCTCTGCCGCCTCCCAAAGTGCTGGGATTACAGGCTTGAGCCACTGCGTCCGGCCAACGTCCTGGAGTTCTTGATGTGGTATTGGCCCATGAATGTTGCCCCACCTCCCCAGGTTTGCGATCATGGTCCAAGACTCTAGCCCCGCCACTTGCTTGATACCAAATTGAAGGCTGGAATGGTCACGACAGATACTTCTAAACAAACGGTCCGCTTCTCCTCCCGGGGGCTCCTGCTAACACCATGTCAAACTCAAAGACTGAAGCCTGGGCTGACCGCTAGCCAGAAGTTAGTTCCCTTGGAGGGAAAGGAACAAGCTTAAGCTTTGTGAATGCTTTTGTGGAAGGAATTCTAGGAGGGCATAGAAAATTAAAAAGCCAGAACTTCATGCCTGGAGACCCTAACCATGACTGGCCCTGCCTCAGTCTGCTGCGATGCACTGTGGGTAAGGAGAAATGTGTCCTGATTAGAAGCTTTCCTGTTCTTACAGCCTTAGTGTCCCTTTAAGAAAAACCCTCGCTTATTTGGGCCACCTCTGCACCCTAAGGCTCACCACCACCCACAAATATTGCCAAATCCTATTTAGCTCAAGGTCATTATGGGAAACTGGGTTGTCACCTCTCCGTCCTTCCCAAATAAACAGGTAACTCCTGGACATGTCAGCTATTTGCAGAGACTCTGGTACTCTATTTTTAATTTTTTTTTCCTTTCTGGGGGTCTCTCCTCTCTGGATCCAATCCCACCGGAATCTAGTCTGTGAAGTGCTCAGATGCAGCCTCCACTTCCACCAAGAGGAAAAGGGATGTCATCTGTGGATCTGCGCCGCCGCCTCCCCTAATATCACTGCATGCTGCGGGTGGCACTCGCCCTCTCTGGTCCGGTGCTCTTGGGCCACCCCCAAGCCCCACTGTTCACACCTGTCCCCAACCCATAAATCCCCCACTCCGTCAACACTTGACCCTCTGTTCCCAACCCCAAAACACTCCTGGCTCTGGGGGTTGTCCCAAAGTCATCTTGATGGTCTCAGGCAAGAAGCCACAATTCCAAACTCCCCACCATGACAGCAAACAGAAGCCTCATTATAAAGTAGCTCCAGTAATTGGTCAGATAATGACGAGTTACAGGGAACACTGCTGGTCATCCTGATGAGTCGGATGACTGAAGAGCATGAATGGCACTCAAAGTTTCACAGGCCCCCATGGATCCCGTTTTTGTTTTTGGTGACCCTGACACCAATTTCAGACATATTTCTAATTGCCCCTGGCTGGATTCCCTGGAAGAGGACGTCCAGTCCAAGTTAGGTGGGGTTTGGTTCCTGGTGTGTGAACTTGCAGGCTCCACTGTGTGCTATCACACCCACCCCCCAGTGCCATACACTTCTTTCAATTTAGGATTGTTTATAGTCAGTCAAGTTTTTCCAGATTGACTAAGAGTTCCTCATCTGCCTACTGTAGTCAGCTACAAGAACAGTAAAAGAGACCCAGGACTTGGGCCAGCTGAAGACTCAGAAGAAAGTCTCTGTGGGATGCAGACAGCTAAAGAATGACAATCACATGCAATTGTCCCAAACCCCACATCCCCCCCAAGGGACACCCTCATCTGCCCTTTTGAGACCCCTTCACAAAGAGCCTCGGGAGCCCTTTTATGGGGCATTGCCTCAAGGAAATGAAACTGCTGAGAACAACTCTTACTTCCCCTTATTTGGTGTGTCCAAGGGTTAAAAACACTTCCGAACTCCCCCTCCAAATGCAAGGTCAAGCAGCTGTCCAAACCACCCAAGGAGAAGAGGGAGTCCTGGACAGCCAGACCCCGGCTAGCTTGGCCACCATGGGCTCCAGCCAGCCCGGCTAGGGAAGAGTTAATCGGATCGGCTTTGGCTGATAGTTCAGGCTCCAAAGTTCAGTCCCAGTCAGAGCCACCCCTGAGGAATTGTAAATCTCAGGGCAGTATTTAACAAAACAAAAGCAACCTGGAATTACATGCAGGTTTGGTTTTCTACAGTACATATTTACTTAATCCCCAAGGTATGCGGCTCCATGTCACCATGTCAGATCAGCTGGCTTTGCGGCCCTTTCACCCCCCAGTTCACAACAGTTTAAGTTTCAAACTAATTCCCTGTTTTCACTCTTCCTCTTCACAGAGCTGGCTGGAGACAGCCGGGCCGGCCTCCCTCTCCCGATGGCTCTGGTCACCGGGTGAGTCAGCCTGGCCTGGGCTGGGAGTTGGGTGACAGCCTGCTCACCCTCCCCACTCTCCAGCACGAGGTCTCCAAAACCTGGAGCAAGGGGTGCTGGGACCACCAAAAAGTGAAAGGCAGTGTCTGGTGGGCAGGACCCTCCCTGTAGCACCACCTTCCAGCTAAATGGGGAGGGATCCCTGGGGGGTGTGATGGGGGGAGGGGACAGGGTTGAAGGTGAGAACAAGGGCTCTTTATCAGTAGCTGCTTACCCTGGCCTCCTCTTTCCTGCTTTCCAGACACCTGGGCCTCCCAGTGTTGGTCCGGCCAGACTACTACATCCAAGACCGCTCTTCCCTTTTCAAACCCAAACCAATCACCCCCTCTCTTGTCTTCAGAGCTGCAGCCGCCCAGGTTGGGGCTGGGTAGCGGGTTGCCAAGGAAAATACGAGGCGCCAGCTAGCAGGCGGCTCCCAGCTCTACCCAGGAGAGCGCACACCCTGCACACACAAGGGTGGCGGCGAGAAAAAGGGGGGAAGGCGGGGGAGGGGGGCACAACACCTTCCTTTGGGAGGCAGGAATGTGGGAGATGGGTGGGTCTCCTAAGTTTCAGAGTGGGGGTGAATAGCCAGCCAGCCACCAATCCCCAAGGAGCGGATCAACTCTGAACCTGCCAAAAGAGACAGTCCGGTGCCCGGGAAATTTACAAGGTGAAACCGACTAGCTCAGCACTCGCGGGTGGCGCGGGGGGAGTGGGGTGGCCCGCGACTCTCAGCTCCCGGGCGCTGGATCCCGCAGCGGCAGCAGGTGGGCTCACCCCCGCCCCTGCGGCCCCCACTCCCCGGAGTCGCAGTGCCTGGTACCTTTCTGGCGCCGCGCTCCGCGAACTCGCGGGCGAGCTGACGCCCGATGCCTCTCCCGCCGCCGGTGATGAGGACGTTCTCCCGCGACAGGTCCCGCAGCTTGGCGGGCAGCACCAGTCCGACGGCTGCTTTCGCCACCAGATAGATGATCTGCAGAGGGAACACCACCAGCGCGCCCAGCCGTTTCCACACCATCCTACGCGCCGCGGAGCCGAGCAAGGGGCGAAACTCCCCGGGCTGAGCAAAACAGGAATTTAAAAAGAAAACACCCCAAACAATAAATAGTAAACCGAATAAGGAGAGAGGCGTCCCACCTGGCCACTCTTGAAATCACTTCTTCCCAAATGCAAAGCACCGGGTGAGAAAAAAAAAAAAAAAAAAAAAAAGATAAATTTCCTCTGGGGGAGAAAAAGCGTCTCCTAAGGTTGGGACGGAAAAAGAGGTGAAGGGGGAAGCCGGAGGTGGAAAGTTCTAACAAGAAGTTTCTTGCCCCAGCAGCCGTTTCGGCTGGGGAATTCTCAGGTAATGTTTACAGACTGACAGAGGAGTTTAGGCAGGGGAAGAAAAAAAAAAAAAAAAAAGGCACCAACCACACGCGCGCACCCTGCCTCGGTCCCGCGGTTTCAAAGTGCAAGGTTTAAAAAAAAAAAAAAAGCTGTTTCCAAATTGTAGCGCCCCCACCCCCACCCCGTCTCCAGGAAAAAAAAAAAGTGGGGGGAAAAAGTGCTTGGAGCTCCCAATTTCAGCCCGCGAAAGTCTCCCGACTCATTGCTATTCTTGGGCTCAGGAAATTGCTTAAACGCGATCTGATTGCCAGCAACGTGCAGGAGAAGTGGGGGGTCCGGGTGTCAGTTTCTTTACGTGCAGGGCTCGCCCTCGCGCGCGCTCGCTCTCTCCGGCTCCCTCCCTCCCGCTCTGTTCCAGCAGAGGCTGGGAGTTGCCGCTCGATCCAGCTCCCCTTCTCTCCCTTTTTAGCATTTATTGCCTTCTTTTTGTCCTTTCCAACTTGGAGAGGGCCCGGGTGTGGAGCGCGCGTGGATCGGACGCCTTGGTCTGCGCGGCCCTATTCATTCGCTCCCCGGGCAGCCGCGGAGCTGAGAGAGAGGGCGGCCCTTTTTTCCCCCATTTTTTTAATACCCCATTAAGTCTGATTGACAGTTAAAGTTGTTGGGAGGCTTCACTACCGTTCCTCTGGGTGGCTGCTGCGGCCTCCCCTCCCCCTGCGCCGTCGCGGGGCGCGCGCATAGGCGCGCACTCGGGCTCGCCGGGACTGGCGCTCTCCCGGGACTGGCTCCCCTCTGTGCAAGCCGGGACTTGCCGCCGGTGTCCCTGAGGGCTCGCAGCTGTAACTCGAACACGCTGGAACCGACTCCTGCGAGCCGGCTGCCTTCCCGAGACATTCCTCCTTGCCCGGGCCGCCCGCGGGCCAGGTGACCACCCCTGCGTGTGGAGCAGGCCTGGGGGAGCCTGTGCATGCCTTGATCCAACCAGGTCCAGGTCGCCCAGGGTCTTATTTCAGGTCATTTGGTCATCCCCTGCCTCCAGGTAGGCTCTGGAAGCCACATCTCATCTTTGCCCAGACCTCTTCTGTCTTCGCTTAGAGTGGACTTTTAAAAACCTGACCCCAGTCCCTCGTGTTGCTTGCGGGGAAGCCGCTGGGGCACTGGCCTTTGCTTTGAGAGGAGGGGGTAGTCAGGGTAAAGGAACCTCTGCTCCGGGTGCCAATAAAATCTCCATAAGATTAGCTGGGAGCATATTTATTGCTCATCTGAGCTAGAATTACCTTGACTGACAGCAATTTCCTTAATAACCAACGCCTGTAAACAAAACGGCCTCTACCTGCGCCCCTGCGCTGTGCGGGCACTGTCTCCTGTTCTTGGGTCTCCCTGGACTGCCCTGGCAGGGCACCCACCTTCTAACCTCCTGCTCTCCCCGACTGGAATGTCTCCCTTGCTGGAGGGTGGGACCGAGCTGCTATTTAGAGTTGTCTGTTGCAGGAAGTCTGGGAGGTGAGTCACTAAAAAGCAGCCCCAGTTCAAAGTGCTGATGGGACTTGCCTCCCGCCCCCTGCACGCTCCCGGGGCCGGAGGAGCGAGAGCGAAGCCGGGAGCTGCCCTGTAATCTGGGGCAGCCGTTTCCAGCCCGCGACTTGTTCAGGCGGCGATTCCTGGCCTCACCCCGGAGATTCTGATTCAGCAGGGCTGGGTGCGCTGGGATCGGCGCTTTTACTGCTGCGCCTGGGTGAGAAAGTCACTTCGAAAAACGCTGATCTGCGGGGAGGGGAGGCTGGGATTGCCTCGTCACCTGCAAAGACCTAGATGGGGGAGAGGTTCTGCAGGTGAGGATCTTCCTTCTGGGTGAATTGGGTAAGGCCACTGGAAGAGCAAAAGGCTGGAGAGGCTTAGGATGAGAAACTGCCCTACCCTGAAGGCCTGGATTTGGACACTTACTCCTTCCCGTGACCTTGTCATGGGGGTTCTATTACCCCATCTTCCGGGTTACCCAGCCAGGAAGTGCAGGAGGGAGGAATCCCAATCCTGACCTCTTCCCACACTGACCGGACGGGAGAAGTGGAGGATGGAGCTCAGCTAAGGGTTGCAGAGACTCCCCACCGCCTCCAAGAGTCTGACCAAGGGCGGACCACTGTCCCTGTCTGACCCAGGGCAGGACTCTATTGTGGTGACGGCCTCCTCCCATCTTCGAGGACTGTAAAGATGGGAAAGAGATTCCAGCCTGGGAGAGACAGGCCTTTCCCACCCAGCAGCGGCTGGTGTCCGCCAGGCCTGCGAAGAAGCCTGGAAAGGTCTGAAGACAGAACCAGGCAGCAAAAGCGGGCTTTGCTCATCTGTTGTCCTCGGAGCCGCCTAGTGGCCCAGATAGGACACTGCGCCTCCAAGCTGCCCAGCCTCCAGCCTCCCGGCGCTCCTAACTACCTGTGCTTTTCTTCCAGGTATTTCTCTCCTGTAAGGTTAACACCCCAAGTCGAAAAGGGCTTGTGTAGAGCGGAGTCCTCCACCGCCGCCCCCCGACATACTTTTATGGATGGGGAAACTAAACCCAAAAGATATTAAGCAACTCATATACAGAGATATGTGATCACCCCAACTAGCCCACCATGGACAGATGCCGTACCAGCTGGGTAACCCCTAAATCCTGCTTACATATCTCCAGTTTTGTGCCTTGGAGGGAGGGCAGACAGTGGGTGGGAAGAAGGTGGAGAACCCAAATTGACCTTTCCTGCCTCAAGCCCTTGACACAGTTTCTGATTTAATTTCCTTAACAGCCTGGGGAGGCAGGCGTCATCGTGGCCATTTATCCCAGGAGGAAACAGGCTGGTCAATTTAGGTAACTTGTGCAAGGCCATGCAACCTGCTTCCCAAAAGGCTTGGGATGAAATCAGAGGGAAAAAGAACATGTCAGCCAGTCCCAAAAGGTAGTTCCAGAAGCTGGCCTGAGGTGGACAGTGGCTTTGTTTTCTACTTGGTCCATCTTGAGGATGTGGTTTTTGTGGGCCTGGAGGTTCTTCGGGCCGCAGATGCCTCTCAGCATCAATTGCTCGGAGAAGATCTGTCACCTCCTCTCTTGCCCTCCTCCCTGGGAAGATGGGACCAAGGAGGCAGTGTGTGTGTGTGTGTGTGTGTGTGTGTGCGCGTGAGCACGTGTACACAGTTCAGCAGGCTGGCCCTGAGGTTCGCTGTGGCCTGGCTTCTGTGAGAACAACATGGGACACATCCTCCCTGCCTTTCCCTCCCTCCTCCAGGTGCCCCTCCTGGAATTTAACTCAGAGCAAAGTTTGAAATTTCATATCCCAGGCCCGTCCCTGAAAAATGTGAAAGCAGCCTTTCTGGGCTTAAGGGAAGAGGTGAGCTGCAGTCGGGAGAAATTTTTTCATGGCTCAGCCCCCTCAGTGCAGCAGGGTTCCACACTCGCCCTGCGATTCCTGCACAACAAGCCTGTTAGAAATGCAGAATTCAGGCCGGTGAGGTGGTTCACATCTGTAATTCCAGCACTTTGGGAGGCTGAGGTGGGTGGATCACCTGAGGCCAAGAGTTCAAGACCAGCCTGGGCAACACTGTGAAATCTGATTTCTATAAAAAAATTCAGAAATTAGCCCGGTACAGTGGGGTACACCTGTAATCCCAGTTACTAGGGAGGCTGAGGCAGGGGAATCGCTTGAACCCGGGAGGTGGAGATTGTAGTGGGCTAAGATCACACTGCTGCACTCCAGCCTGGGTGATGGGAATGAAACCCAGTCTCAAAAAATGAAAGAAAACAAAAAAGAAATGCAGAATCTGGCTGGGCGATCACGAGGTCAGGAGTTCAAGACCAGTCTGGCCAACATGGTGAAACCCCATCTCTACTAAAAATACAAAAACTAGCTGGGCATGGGGGTGCGTGCCTGTAGCCCCAGCTACTTGGGAGGCTGAGGCAGAATTGCTTGAACCCAGGAGGCAGAGGTTGCAGTGATCTGAGATCGTGCCACTGCACTCCAGCCTGGACCACAGATTGAGACTCTGTCTCAAAAAACAAAAGAGGCCAGGTGTGGTGGCTCACACCTGTAATCCAAGCACTTTGGAGGCCAAGGTGGGTGGATCACCTGAGGTCGGGAGTTCAAGACCAGCCTGACCAACATGGTGAAACCCCATCTTTAAAAAGAAAAGAAATGCAGAATCTCAGGCCCCACCCTGGCCCTCCTGAATCGGGCTCTGCCTTTTACTGAATGTGATACCCAGGTGTTCCTTTGATCACTGCGATTTGAAAAGCACAGAGGCTGGGTCCTGCATGCCAGGAGGAGGACTTTGGGTTTCATCTGCAGTACGATGGGGGGCCTTTGGGAGGGGGGTGTGGAGCAGAGGGCAGATGTGATAGAATCTCTGGTTTTGGAGCCTGCTCCGGCTACTGGGTCCAGGATAGCTCTGGGAACCGAGCGGATATGGGGAGAACAGTGAGGAGACCATTGTTACTCAGGCCAGGGATGGCCACGGGCTACCAGTTCATGATGGGTGGAGAGTGACACCTGGGCCTCTGCTGCCATGAACCCTCAGCTCAGGGACATTGGGGTGAGGATGGGGCCCCTTCCTTCCTTTCCCCTCCCAAGGGACTGCAGTCATGGGAGCCAAATCCCAGCTCAGCTCACTGCTGAGCTACTCTGCCCCGCTTCTTACCCTTCCTCCAGCTCTTGAGCAGGATTTTAATACCAACCATTTGGTGTGATTGACACCCACAAATGCATGTGCGCACACATGGACTCACACACGTACATGGCTTTATGGGATGATTGGCTACTTTCCCCCGAGCAGAACAAGCTGGCAGTGTTCAGCCAGGGAGATTTGGAAAACCTCCTGGTCTGGTGGAAAACAGCGTTCCCCAAAGTTTAACATCAGCTGTTCTGGAGGGGCTCTTCACGGAGACAGGTTCCTGGGAAAATATGAGTGTATGTGATGGCCAGCGGGGAGGCTTGCCTGGCCAGAGGCAACAGAGGCGTCAGGTGAGGGGACCGATGGGGGCCAAGGTCCAGGAAAGCAGATCCGCAAAGGCCAGAGATGGTTTAAAACCCTCATAAAACACCTCCTCTGCCTAATACAGAACATGCGCCAAGAGGACTCATTTTCTCCTCGGCGAGGCCTGGTGGGCACATAAAAGCAGGTAGAAAAGCTCCTCTCAGTCCACAAAACACCTCCCCCGCCCCCACCCCCGCCACAGGTGAGTATTTTCCATGGAATTGCATCTGTCTCTTCTGGGCACTGGCTTTTTTTTTTCTTTCATTATTGTTTGGAATCCCAGGCCACAGCAGCAGGGAGGTAGGTTCTTTTGGCTCATGGGAGCGGGTGCTGGGGCAACCGTGTTTATTCTGGCTGCCAGGGTTGGGTGAAGACGCAGGCGGGAGCCAAGGCTGGAACATGGCAGGAACACGGAAGGGTGGGAGGGATGTACTTAGCAAGGGAACAGGCCCCAGGGTGTCACCGTGTCACCTGAGAAAGCTTGGGTTGAGGCCAGAGGGCACCCAGGGGTCCTCACCTGCATCCTGCCTCTTGGTCAGTCATGTAATTCTAAACCAGGGCATGGAGGATGGGTTTGAGGTTAGCATGGCTGAGGTCAGATCCAAGCTCTGCCATTTATTATCTGTAAACTCGGGCAGATGATTTGCCTCTCCGAGTCTCAGTTTCTCCATCCCTTAAAGTGGGAATGTTGCCACTACTAAGATAACATCTTTGCAGGGCTTGGGTGGCGCCTGGCAGGGAGATGCCAGTGGGCATTCATTTCCCTCCCCTGGCTTCACGTCCTCAAGAAACACTCTTTGGGGTAGGAGCTAGGGCTGAGGGGGGACCCTGGAAGGCAGAGGGACAGAGAGTCATGGGGGTGGGTGGCAGACAGAGTTGGGGCCTTGGGAACACTAAATCCTTACCCTAAACCAGGAGTTCGAAGACCTTTTTCTTTCTTATTTATTTATTTATTTTAGACAGTCTCACTCTGTCACCCAGGCTGGAGTGCAATGGTGCGATCTTGGCTCAGTGCAACCTCTGCCTCCCGGGTTCAAGCGATTCTCCTGCCTCAACCTCCTGAGTAGCTGGGATTACAGGCATGCGCCACCACGCCTGGCTAATTTTTGTATTTTTAGTAGCAGTGGGGTTTCACCATATTTGGTCAGGCTGGTCTCGAACTCCTGATCTCGTGATCCACCTAGCGGATCTTTTCTCTAAAGGGCTTTGTGGACCCCATGGGTCTCTGTTGAAACAACTCACCTCTGCTGTTCTAGCATCAAAGCAGTGAGCAACTGGACCTGCAAGAGTGTGGCTGTGCTCCAATGAAACCTATTTACCGACAGGCATTTGATTTTCATGCAACTTTCACATGTCATGAAATATTCTTGTTTTGATTATTTTCCAACCATTTAAAACTGAAAAGTACTCAGCTTGCAAACTGAACAAAAAAAGGCAGTGGTCCAGATTTGGTCTGTGGACTGTTTTCAGTTTGTCAATGCCTCCCCTCTACCACTAGCAAGCTAGCAAACCAACTTCAGTCTCTCAAGTCCTCAGAAATGAATGAAGCAGCCTTTTGTTGTTCCTTTTTTTTAACAAAGTCTTATTGTTACCCAGGCTGGTGCGTGTCATGGCTCACTACAGCCTCCACTTCTGGGGCCCAATCAATCCACCACAGCTGGCTAATTTTTGTACTTTTTTGTAGATATGGGGTCTCCCCATGTTGCCCATGCTGCCTCAAACTCCTGGGCTCAAGCAATCAATCCGTCTTGGCCCCCCAAAGTGCTGGGACTACAGGCATGAGCCACCACACCCGGCCTAACCCAGGTTTTAATAGCCACTGGAAGAAGAAGCTCTTAAAGAGGTCATGCAGGAGACTGATTTCATTGAGAGATTAAAAAAAAAAAAAAAAAGGCAGGAGTGGTGCCTCATGCCTGTAATCCCAGCACTTTGGGAGGCTGAGGCGGACAGATCACAAGGTCAGGAGTTCGAGACCAGCCTGGCCAAGATGGTGAAACGCCATCTCTACCAAAAATAGAAAAATTAGCTGGGTGTGGTGGTGGGCGCCTCTAATCCCAGCTACTTGGTAAGCTAAGGCAGAAGAATCACTTAAATCCAGGAGGCGGAGGTTGCAGTGGGCTGAGACCACACCATTGCACTCCAACCTGGGCAACAAAGCGAGACTCCATCTTAAAAAAAAAAAAAACACCAAATGCGTGACTCTAGTGATGGATTTGTCATCACAAGGAGCTACCATTTATTGAGTGCTTCCCACACTGTGGTACTTCATCTCCTTAAAGGTAATGTCTCATCTTGTCCTAACTGAACCTAACCTCATCTGTGATGAGGACAGACAGCCCCAAATGTTCAATAACATGCCCAAGGCCACTGCTTGGAGTGGCGGAGGTTGTAGTGAGCCACGATAGCGCCACAGCACTCCAGCCTGGCTACAGAGCAAGACTTTGTCTTGAAAAACAAACAGACAAACAAATAAACAAAAACATGCATGTTGGCCAAGCATGCTGGCTCACACCTGTAATCCCAGCACTTTGGGAGGCTGAGGCAGGCGGATCATTTGAGGTCAAAAGTTTAAGACAGCCTGGCCAACATGGTGAAACCCTGTTTCTACTAAAAATTGCAAAATGTGGCCAGGCATGGTGGCAGGCGCCTGTCATCCCAGCTACTTGGGAGGCTGAGGCAGGAGAATTGCTTGACCCCTGGAGGCACACTGACCAGGTATGGTGGTAGCTCACACCTGTAATCCCAGCACTTTGGGAGGCCAAGGTGAGCAGATTGCTTGTGTCCAGGAGTTTGAGATCACCCTAGGCAACATGGTGAAACCCTGTTTCTACTAAAAATTGCAAAATGTGGCCAGGCATGCTGATGTGTGCCTGTAGTCCCAGCTACTTGGGAAGTTGATGTAGGAGAATCGCCTGAGCTGGAGAAATTGAGGCTGCAGTAAGTCATGGTCGCGCCACTGTGCTCCATCCTGGGCAACCGGAGTGAGCTCCTGTCCAAAGCAAAAAACAAAAATGTGCACACTATTGACATTATAGTACACTGTTAAAAATTTAGAGCACAGGGTATAGTTGGGAGTTGTATTAGTATTATTCTTTAGCTGCCTGGGAATAGAAGTCAATTTTTCCATATTTATAGGAGTGAATTTTTTTTTTTTTTTTTTTTTTTGAGACACAGTCTTGCTCTGCCTCCCAGGCTGGAGTACAGTGGCATAATCTCAGCTCACTGCAACCTGTTTTTCCTGGGTTCAAGCGATTCTCCTGCCTCGGCCTTCTGAGTAGCTGGGATTACAAGCGCCTTCCACTGAGCCCAGCTAATTTTCATATTTTTTAGTAGAGGGGGTTTTGACATGTTGGCCAGGCTGGTCTCGAACTCCCAACCTCAGGTGATCCGCCTGCCTCAGCCTCCCAAAGTGCTGAGATTACAGGTGTGAGCCACCACGCCAGGCTGGCAGTGAAATCCTTATAGTGTTAGCATACAAAATGGAATCACCAGTCTGATCCTGTTTTTGGAAAGAAAAGGCCTGTAGTACCATTTGGTCAGGATTTATTGTGTGTCAGGTTGTACACTAAATGCTTTATATTCATTTAATCTCATTTAATCAAAAGAACTCCCTGGAAGTCAGACCTACAGCCCCATTTTACATTGGTGGAAATGGAGAGTAAGCAGTCTGGCCAAGTTCATGGAACCAGTGAGTGGCAGATAGGAGATTAGAATCCAGCTTGGTTTTACGTCAAAGCCCATCCTCTCTGCTCTGAAGCTGTCTCTGTGTCTCTCTCTGTGAGCACACGCATGACTGCACACAGAAAAAAGACAGGAAGGAAACAGAATGTTTACAGTGGCTGCCTGCGGATGATGGCAATAGACGTGATTTTTATCTTATTTTAATGCCTTGTTACTACATATTCTCTATGTTTTATAATGAGTTTCTAGTAAGAAAAATCCACCATATGATCTTTCTGTAAAGGCATGCTTGTTTTACAGTCCTGGGGTGAGGCCATGGAGCCCCTGACCACTAAAACACTCTCCTAAAAAATAAGGCAGAGAGGGGAGCCAGGACCTGGCTTCTTGGAACTGCCTAATCCATCCTATAATACCTTGCTTTGTAGGAAAGTTCTGTGCATAAATCCCATAATGTGGCGCTGACACTGAGCCTCCCCAGAACAAAATCTGCTAATGATCACGGCTTGCCAGGAGCCTGCAGAAAGCGAGCAGACATGTCGCAACCCCCACGCCTGCCTCCTGCCTAAGCCCTTTCTAATAAGGACCCTTTTCATGAGTTCATAAAAACACCTTGTTCAGCTCATGTTGGGTCTTTACTTCATCTTAGTCAAACACTGAACGTCTATGGGGCTGGAAGGGGTTGAGGCCTGCCCTTTGGTTTTGGGACCCAGAAAAAAAAAGCAACAGGTTTTCAAAACCAGAAGTGAACACCTCTCTCCTCACCCCATTGCCTATCCTGTTGCCTCACCCCAGGATGGGACCTTTCTAAGGTTGCTTTAGAAACTGGAACAAAAAGTAGAACAGAGAGAGTGTGAATATTGGCTGCCCCACCTGGCACGGGTGCCTGGAAGTGGATGCTGCCCTTAACAAAATCTGGGCCGGGCACGGGGGCTCACGCCCGTGATCCCAACACTTTGGGAGACCGAGGCAGGTGGATCACAAGGTCAAGAGTTTGAGACCAGCCTGGCCAACATGGTGAAGCCCCATCTCTACTACAAATATAAAAATTAGCTGGGTGTGGTGGCTTGTGCCTGTAATTTCAGCTACTCGGGAGGCTGAGGCAAGAGAATCACTTGAATCCAGGAGGTGGAGGTTGCAGTGAACCGAGATCGTGCCACTGCACTCCATAAGACTCTATCTCAAAAAAAACAAAATCTGAAATGACTGAGCATTAGAGCGAAGTGCTGTGTGTCTCAGTTTCATTGGGTTTAAAATGAAGGTTGAATTCATTACCTTACAGGGCTGGTATAAGATCATGGAGGCTGCCTGATGCTTGATAGATGTTTTGATCGTCCTTCCCTTTCTCCCCTGCCTCTGCCATATTGCCCCTGGCGGTTACCTACTGTGGAGTTTTCACAGCTCAGTGCTGAAAAGTTTTAAACTCTAAGTCTGAAGACACAGAAAAGTTACAAAAATATAACCAAGAAGTCCTGTATCTCCCTCACTTGCGTTAATTAACATTTTGCATTTGTGTTATTTATTGGTCTATCCCCCCACCCACCCACCCATCCTCTACAACCTTTTACACAGCAGACATGATTGTGTGAGCCTCCAATTTTTTTTTTTTTTTGAGATGAAGTTTTGCTTTTGTTGCCCAGGCTGGAGTGCAATGGCGTGATCTCGGCTCATCACAACCTCCGCCTCCCGGGTTCAAGTGATTCTCCTGCCTCAGCCTCCCAAGTAGCCGGGATTACAGGCATGTGGTACCATGCCCAGCTAATTCTGTATTTTTGGTAGAGATGGGGTTTCTCCATGTTGGTCAAGCTGATCTCAAACTCCCAACCTCAGGTGATCCACTTGCTTCGGCCTCCCAAAGTGCTGGGATTATAGGCATGAGCCACCTCGCCCGGCCAAATCCCACATTTTTAAGTGTATATCTCTTTTCTTTTCTTTTTTTAAGATGGAGTCTTGCTCTGTTGCCCAGGCTGGAGTGTAGTGGCACTATCTCAACTCACTGCAACCTCTGCCTCCTGGGTTCAAGCAATTCTCCTGCCTCAGTCTCCCAAGTAGCTGGGATTACAGACGTGAGTCGTCATGCCCGGCTAATTTTGTATTTTAGTAGAGATGGAATTTCACCATGTTGGCCAGGCTGGTCTCCAACTCCCAACCTCAGGTGATCTGCCTGCCTCGGCCTCCCAAAGTGCTGGCATTACAGGCATGAGCCACCATGCCTGGCCAAGTGTATAATTCTTAAAAATAAGAACTGCCTATGACACACCACAGTACGTTTTATCAAAATCAGGAAATGGATGTTGGTACATTACTATTATGTAATCATCTACTGACCTTATTCAGATTTCAACAGTTGTGTCACTAACATCCCTTATGACACAAGAAAGATAATGTTTCAAGTGGCACTTGGTTTCCATGCCCTCTTTTGATTCTTTATCTTTGGTGACCTTGACGTTTTTGAAAGGCACGAGTTGTTAGGTGCTGAACGGTGTCCCGTAAATTCATGTGTGGAAGCTCTAACCTCAGAATGTACTGAGAATGTGGCCGCTTTTGATGATAGGGCCTTTAAAAAAGCGATTAAGTTAAACTGAGGCTACTCTGGTGAATTCTAATCCAACCTGACTGGTGTCTGAACGGTAAGAGGAGATTGGGACACGCAGAGACACTAGGGGTGTGTGCGCTCAGAGGAAAGACCAGGTGAGGACACAGCAGAAGGTGACCATCTGCAGGCCAGCCAGAGAGACCTCAGGGGAAGCCACGCCTGCCAGTACCTTGCTTCAGGACTTCCAGACTCCAGAATGTGACAAAACGAATTTCTGTTGCTGAATCCCCCGGATTGTGGCATAAGGGGTCCTGGTAAAGTGATAACACAGATCACTATTTTGCAGACTTTCCCTTAACGTGGCCCCAGCTCATTTTTAATTATTTCTGCTTGCTACCCAATGTATATTCCTGGATGCTTCCTCCAACTAAAATTATCTGCTATCCCTATGGGCCAGCCTGTGCTAAGGAGTTTTCATGTGTTGACCCTCCCAGCAACCCATCCAGGTGCATACTGTGAAAGGAAAATATCTTGGGCCCCCACAACTACTAAGCTAACGGGAAAAGTCAAGCTGGGAACTGCTTAGAGCAAACCTGCCTCCCATTCTATTCAAAGTCACCCCTCTGCTCACTGAGATAAATGCATAGCTGATTGCCTCCTTTGGAGAGGCTAATCAGAAACTCAAAAGAATGCAATGCTTTGTCTCTTACCTACCTACCACTGACCGGAAGCTCCCTCCAGTTGTCCTGCCTTTCCAGACCTATGTTTATTTTCCATATGTTGATTGATGTCTCAAGCCTCCCTAAAATGTATAAAACCAAACTATGCTCCGACCACCTTGGGTACCTGTCATCAGGACCCAGTGAGGCTGTGTCAGGAGCACAGGTCCTCAACCTTGGCAAAATCAACTTTCTAAATCAACTGAGACCTGTCTCAAATGTTCAGGGTTCACAATACCATCTATTATTACATCCATTTTACAGATAAGGAAAACTGAGCATGGAGGAGGTGAAGCTACCCAGGCAATGGAGGAGCCTGTGGGCCAGAAGACTCGGACCCAGGAAGGGTAAACTAATTTAAACAATCACATAAACAAAACCCGAGGAAGAGGCATCTGCTGCTCTAAGAGTCCCATAAATCAGGTGTCATCACTGTAGAGTTTGTCTCTGTGGGGACTATATGGCTGTATTTCAAGGCTCAGTTCATTCAGCACCACTTCCTATAAGCTATTCTCGGGCTGCTCCCTTCCTCATGTCCAGGATTGGGTCCTACCCCTTTTTGAACCTCTTGGAATAACAATTGCTATTACTTGTTGGGGGTCTACTATACCCTCATTTCTGTTTTAGTGAATTTATAAGCACAGTTGTCCATTGGTATCTTTGGGGGATTGGTTCTAGGACTTCTCAGATGCCAAAATTTAAAGATGCTGGCCAGGCGCAGTGACTGACGCCTGTAATCCCAGCACTTTGGGAGGCTGAGGCGGATGAATTACAAGGTCAGGAGTTCAAGACCAGCCTGGCCAACATGGTGAAACCCCCTCTCTACTAAAAATACAAAAGCAAATAGCTGGGCATGGTGGTGCGCACCTGTAGTCCCAGCTACTTGGGAGGCTGAGGCAGGAGAATTTCTTGAACTGGGACCCGAGAAGGGGAGGTTGCAGCAGCCGAGATTGCACCACTGCATTCCAGCCTGGGCTACAGAGTGAGACTCCGTCTCAAAAAAAAAAAAGCTCAAGTCAGAAGTCAGTTCCTGATATAAAATGGCATATTTACATTTAAGCTGCGTGTGGTCCCTTATACTTTAAATCCCCTTTACATTACTTGTAATACCTACTACAGTCAGGTGCTGTGTAAATATTTGTTGTACCATGTTGTTTAGGGAATGACAATCAGAAAAAGGAAAGGCTGCACATGTTCAGAATGGACACCACTTTTCCCTGCAGTTTTTTTGATCTGAGGATGGTTGATCCCTGGATTGAGTCTGTGACTGAATCACTGCACCCAAGAATGCAGAGATCTGACTGTGTAACTCATTTAATGCTCAAGACGGAAGCCACCGTTGCACAGTTACGGCAGGAAGAGAAATCTGACATGGCCGGCTCCATCTTGCTTCTGACCTCGCAGTCTGGCTGTCTTGGATCATTACTCGGCATAGGCCAAGTTAACTTTGGGAGAAACTTAGTTTATAGTTTAAATGATAGTAGCCCTTTGGAAAAACTAAACTGCCTTGTAAAATTAATGAAAGGCCATCAAGTTAGGAGGGCAGAGGGGCCCACATTCTGCTAAGATGTAGGTATAGTTACATGATTACCAGCCATTATTCCAGAGGCCACGAGATTTGCAACTTCCCCAATTTCTCCTGCAGATGACATCACCATTGTGGAACCTAGGGTTGGCCTTTGACATGTCTTCAGGGTTTTGTATTTCTGACTGCCAGATGGCCCCACCCAGAGGTTTTTGGTGGTCCCCACTCAGAAACAGACTTAGCGCTCAAGGACTGTTTTCCTAATTGCATCCCCAACCAATCAGCATGCCCCCTTCCTTTGCCCCAGCTTGCCAAACTATCCTTGAAAAACCAGCCGGGTGTGGTGGCTCACACCTGTAATCCCAGCACTTTGGGAGGCTGAGGTGGGCAAATCACCTGAGGTTGGGTGTTCGAGACCAGCCTGACCAACATGGAGAGACCCCATCTCTACTAAAAATATAAAATTAGCTGGGTGTGGTGGCGCACGCGTGTAATGCCAGCTACTCAGGAGGCTGAGACAAGAGAATCGCTTGAACCCAGTGTTAAAATGCATGCTTTGAATGAAGAAACCCCCCAAACAGGCTCTGTGTGAGCAACATGGCCGTTTATTCACCTGGTGCAGGTGGGCTGAGGCTGAAAAGGGCGTCGGCGAAGGGCAGTGGGATAGGAGTTGGTTTTATAGGTTGGGGCAAATATTTTGGGGCGGGGACAGGGGTGTTACGGAGTAAGATCAGTTACAGTGGTGGAGGCAGGGGCAAGGAATATACATTACCTTAAGTTCACTTACCATGGCGGGTGGGGTAAGATGTAAGAGCAGTTAAGATGGCAGGGTGGGGCTGGAGTATTCACATTATTATAAGAACAGTTAAGATGGCAGGGTGGGGTGAGGAGTATTCACATTATCATAATAACATAATAACTCCCAACAGCAGGGTGGGAAGAGAAGCTTAATGTCTGGGGAAAGCTCTGCTGGGTGATTACGGATCATGGCAAACACCGGCGGGATTGGGGGGTGATCAGCAGAGGCAGGCAGGACTTCAGACTTTCTGGGTCCAAGCTTGCACATGGTGGCCTGACAGCCAGGAGGCAGAGGTTGCAGTGAGCTGAGATCACACTGTTTCACACAGCCTGGGCAACAAGAGCAAAACTCCATCTCAAAAAAAAAGTAAAAAAGAAAAACTTTTAACCTCTGAGTCTTCAACAAGATTGATTTGTGTAATAACTCTGTCTCCTGCATGGTATGGCTAGTCTCAGATCAATGAAACACTTTCTCTACTGCAATGCCACAGTCTCAGTGGATTGGCTTTGTCTGTGCAGCAGGCAGGAAGAACCCGTTGGGTGGTTACAGAACAACCCAATGTAAGTGGCATGTACCGACTCACTTTTCCACATCGAGGAACTGAAGATAGAGAGGAAAAGTAGCCTTGCAGAGAGCCTGCGACTTTGACAGCACCTGGAGCTGCTCATCCTGCTGCAGCAGCTGGCGTGTCTGACTGTGCGCAATGGTCACACCCCACACTTACCCACACACCCCTTGCATTCCACGTCTGATTTGCCCTTGCAGGGGGGGACCCAGGCCAGTAGTGTGAGCTAAGCTCAACCTGCCAGGCCGAGTAGGTGAAAGAAGCCCAGTGGAAAGAGCAAAACTTGGGCAAAGGCGCCCCCAGCCGCAGAGGTTTCTGGCCAGAAAAAGGACAACCCAAAGATCCCATAAAATGACAGCCCCACTCTGCACTCCACGTCTCCTCCTTTGCCTTTTCTCCGGTGCACTTCTCATTGACTTGCTATATTTAATTTGTCTGTTTATTGTCTGGCTCTCCCCTTTGGAAGTCAGCTCCCCAAGGACAGAGATTTGTCCCAGAACCCAGAACAGGGCCCAGCCCATAGTCTGTGTTGAATAAATATTTGTTGAGTGAATCCATTCTCATTATACAGGTAAGAAAACTAAGGCTTGGGAAGGTCAAGTCTCCAGGCCAAAGTCATGGTGAGAGGCATTGAGTCTTTCACTAAAACCCCCCGGGAACCTCAAAAGGTTCCACACGATGTTTCCATGTGATCCAGCCATTCCACTCCTATGTATAAACCCAAGAAAGATGAAAACGTATTTCACACAAAAACTTGCACATGGGCCAGGTGCGGTGGCTCATGCCTGTAATCCCAGCACTTTGGGAAGCTGAGGCGGGCAGATCGCCTGAGGTCAGGAGTTCACAACCAGCCTGGCCAACACGGCAAAACCCCACCTCTACTAAAAATACAGAAATTAGCTGGACGTGGTGGCACATGCCTGTAATTCCAGCTACTAGGGAGGCTGAGGCAGGAGAATCACTTGAAACTGGAAGGCGGAGGTTGCAGTGAGCCAAGATCACACCATTGCACTCCAGCCTGGGCAACAAAAGCCAAATTCCATCTCAGAAAACAAAACAAAACAAAAACCTTGCACATAGATGCTTGTGTTATTCATAATCTCCAACGAAGGAAACAACACAAATGCCCACAGATTAATGCACAGATGAATAAAATGTGGCAAGTCCATGCGGTGCAATATTATTTGGCAATGAAAAGGAATGAAATATACTGTGCATGCTGTGACCTGCATGAGACTTGAAACATAAGCGAAAAAGCCAGTCACAAAAACCACACGTTGTCTGTTCCATTTCTATGGAATGTCCAAAACAGGCAGCTTCGCAGAAACAGACATTAGGTTAGTGGTTACCAGGGGATGGGGGAGGGGAAAGGGGGGTGACTGCTAATGGGGGCAGAATTTAAGAGGGGAGATGATAAAAATGGTCTAAAACTAAGCTTCATAAATGAAGGAAAAATAAAATTTTTCACGAATATGCAAGCACTCAGAGATTTCATCACCACCAGGCCTGCTTTACAAGAGCTTCTGAAAGAAGCATTACACACAGAAAGGAACAACCAGTATCAGCCATCCCAAAAACTTACCAAAAGGTAAAGAGCATCTCCATAATGAAGAATCTATATCAACTAATGGGCAAAATAGCCAGATAGCATTAAATGACAATATTAAACTCACAAATATCAATATTAGTCCTAAATTTAAATGGATTAAATGCCCCAATCAAAGACACAGACAGGAAAATTGAATAAAAAGTCAAAACCCATCAGTAGGCTGTATCCAGATCCATCTCGTAAGCAAGGACACACAAAGACTCAAAATAAAGGATTGGAGGAAGACTCACCAATCAAATGGAGAGCAAAAACCAAAACAAAACAGGAGTTGTAACTTTTGTCTCTGACAAAATAGACTTTAATAGTAACAAAGACTAAAAGAAACAAAGAAGGACATTACATAATGATAAAAGGAGCAATGCAACAACAGGAGTCAATGATCATAAATATATATGCACCCAATATAGGAGCACCCAGATACATAAGACAAGTTCTTTTTTTTTTTTGAGACGAAGTCTTACTCTGTCGCCAGGCTGGAGTGCAGTGGCACAATCTCGGCTCACTGCAACCTCCACCTGGGTTCAAGCGATTCTTCCACCTCAGCCTCCCGAGTAGCTGGGACCACAGGCGCTTGCTACCACGCCTGGCTAATTTTTGTATTTTTAGTAGAGACGGGGTTTCATCATGGCCAGGATGGTCTCGATCTCTTGACCTCATGATCCATCCGCCTTGGCCTCCCAAAGAGCTGGGATTACAGGCATGAGCCACCGCGCCCGGCCAAGACAAGTTCTTAATGACTTATAAAGAGACTTGGACTCCTGCACAATAATAGCGGGAGACTTTGACACCACATTGTTAATATTCGACGGATCAACGAGATAGAACATTAACGGGGACATCTATGATTAGAACTCAGACCTGGAACAAGTAAACTCAGTGAATATTTATAGAATTCTTCACCCCAGGTCCACAGAATATACATTTTTCTCAGTATCACATTACACCTATTTTGAAAGTGACCACATAATTGGAAGTAAATCACTCTTCAGCATTTGCATAGCATTTCACAGACTTAAATGAAATATTGGTTGGCTGTTTGTTTGTTATTTTCTTCCCTTATTCCTTCCTGTCTCCGCTGTTAAGGCACAATTATTGGCATGAAAGAGGTTTTTAATACCTATTTTTAGATTGCATTCCAGCTTGCGCAATAGAGCAAGACTCCTGTTCTCTCTCCCCTTTTCTCTTTCTTTCATTAAGAAAAAAAAAAAAGAAAGAAAGAAAAGAAAAATGGTCTAAAAAGTTTGTTTTGGAGATGGAGTTTCCCTCTTTTGCCTAGGCTGGAGTGCCATGGCATGATCCTGGCTCACAGGTTCAAGTGATTCTCCTGCCTCAGCCTCCTGAGTAGCTGGGATTAAAGGCATGTGCTGTCACACCTGGCTAATTCTGTATTTTTAGTAGAGACAGGGTTTCTCCGTGTTGGTCAGGCTGGTCTCAAACTCCCAACCTCAGATGATCTGCTCGCCTCGGCCTCCCAAAGTGCTGGGATTACAGGCGTGAGCCACCGCGCCCAGCAAATGTTTTAAATTGATTGCAGTGATGGTTGTACCACTCCATAAATATACTAATAACCATTAAGTTGTACACTTAGTTGTTTTCTTTTTTTTTTGAGACAAGATCTTGTTTTCTCACCTAGGCTGGAGTGTAATCATGGCTCACTGCAGCCTTTGCCTCCCTCCTTAAGTGATCCTCCCACCTCACTCTCCTGAGTAGCTGGGACCACAGCCCCTCGACAGCACATCCAACAAGTTCTTGTATTTTTTTGGAGACAGGGTCTCCTTATGTTGCCCAGGCTGGTTTTAAATTCCCAGGCTCAAGCAATCCATCTGCCTTGGCCTCCCAAAGTGCTGGGACTCCAGGCATGAGCCACTGCAATGGCCCTGTATTGTACATTTGTACAGTATGTGAATTACATCTGAATAACGCTTTTTCAAAGAAAGAGAAAAGCCCCACAGGCAATCTACACCAGATGCTGGGGTATGATGTCCACGTGAGTAGTTGTAGACACTGCCCTTCTTCCTCACATCTAGGTGGGGGACAGACAGAAATCACTGACCACAAAAGTGGATTCATACTTGTGAGATGTCCCACAGGAAAGGACAGAGTATAGCATGAGGGGCAGGTAACTAGGGGCACCTACTAAGCCAAGGGCAAGGTTAGGGGAATTGAGGAAGTTTTATTGGAGGAAATCATGGAGGTGAGAAAACTACCCAGGTTTCTCTGTCCCAAACACTTGAACTTCTAGGCTATACTGTCTCTATGTGACCAGGAGTCTCAAGGAAGTGGGCTTTCTGTGCTTTCAGCTCTACTGGGGGTAAGCAGGAGCGCCCCACCTGAGGTGATGGTGCCCTGGGTACTTGTTGAATATCTTGTGTTGTTTTTATCTTTTTTACTTTTTCACTTTTGTGGGTACATAGCCGGTGTAGATATGTACACCTGAGATATTTTGATACAGGCATACAGTCTAATAATCACATCAGGGTAAATGGGGATCTATAAACTTAAGCATTTATCCTTTGTGTTATAAACAATCCAATCATACCTTTAGTTATTTTTCAACATGCAATTAAATTATTTTAATTTTTTCTTTAGAAATAGGGTCTCACAGGCTGGGCGCGGTGGCTCACGCCTATAATCCCAGCACTTGGGAGGCCAAGGCGGGTGGATCACGAGGTCAAGAGATCGAGACCATTCTGGTCAACAAGGTGAAACCCCGTCTCTACTAAAAATACAAAAATTAGCTGGGCATGGTGGTGCGCACCTGTAATCCAAGCTACTTGGGAGGCTGAGGCAGGAGAATTGCTTGAACCCGGAAGGCAGAGGTTGTGGTGAGCCGAGATCGTGCCATTGCACTCCAGTCTGGGTAACAACAGCAAAACTCCATCTCAAAATAAAATAAAATAAAATAAAATAAAATAAAATAAAATAAAATAAATGGGGTCTCACTATGTTGCTCAGGCTGATCTCAAATTCCTCCCAAAGTGTTAGGATTATAGGCATGAGCCACGGCACCAGGCCATTAAATTATGACCGAGTATAGTCACTCTGCTGTGCTGTCAAACACTAATTCTTATTCATTTTATTTTTTGGACCCATTGCCTCCTCAGGCTCATCTAGAAAACCACAAATTCACCCAGCCGCATTATGTCGTTTTAAGCCACTGAGTTTGTGATAACTTGTCCTGCATCAATAGGACACGGATATTCTTCCTTCTTC